TAAAGTTCCAACTTAATTTTTTGGACCACTCTAATGTACATATGTGTTAAAAAAATAAATAAAAAAAATCAAAGCCCTAACCAGAAGAACCCAGTAGGACAGTAGTAGTTGAGGGCCATCAGCGATTTTGACTAAGCACGGATAGCAATTTGGCGTCTGAAAAACAACAAAGCTGCTGGTGGTGACGGCCTGGCAGCTGAGCTATTGTTATATGGGCCAGCAAAGGCATGAAGACGTTTCGACTTTAAGTCCACATTTCGATGGTAAACAGATTTTTATTATTTGACTAGACTCACAACTTAAGCTACATATGTAGTATACATGTACTAGAGCATTCAATCCTGAGGCATTTTAACAATCCCGGGATTTCGGGATGCAAAAATTCGAATTCCCGGATCGCGAGACTTTTTTCATTTTACAGTAGCTTCGTCTTTTTCAAAAAACACAGATTCGTTGTCACCACATTGGGTCTTAAGTGAGCATAATACCCCTTAATAAAAGAGACCGTAACGCAATGTTTAAATATTTTTATAGTATTCTAAAATATTTATATTACTTGTCAACAACATTTACCCATATTTGTAGAAATACTTTTCGAATAAAAATGCCACCAAAGTAAAATGAAGAACTCGTGTCACTTGCTGGTTGTGTTTTTAAATGATTCCAGATTTTTCGTTATTACACAGTTCTTGCACAAAATGTTTGAACAAGTACAGTTATTCAGGCTGATCCTGAAATTCGCTTCCACTGCATTTCACTTGGAATCCAAATTTTGGAGTTCTGTATTTCATGTGTTTCATGTCAAATGAATTCATTTTTTCGTTTTCAACATCTCTTTCATTCTGTAAATGAATCAGTACAAATCTCGGGATCGGGAGATTTCGGGACGTGGAAAAGTGTCCGGTATCCCGGAATCCCGGGATTGAATCCCCTAGTATGTACATACTTGTATGGCGTTCCACTGTTTACGCAGTGTTTGCATTGTTCAAATTTCAGAGGCGATTGGTTGGTGGGTTGGTAGAAGTGTCCCCTGAGTACATTCCCAGGATCCAATTAGGGTTGAAAGCACCATTTTGATACGCTTTCTGTGGGACCCTTGATTTGATCTGGGGGGCTACTCTGTAATGCGATGCGATAGGCAATCACCACAGCGTATTACTTACGACGTTTTTGCCTATCGCATCGCATTTCTCTTTCTCATCGCATTACAGAGTAGCCCACCTGCTTCCATGATTCGTTTAATTCGTCAAACCATTTAGATTTTCCGATGAATCTATTTAGGTTAGTAATGGTGACTTTGGAAATCTCCGCAAGATTTTGGATGGAAAAACTCCCGAATGTGTTCTGTCTTATTTGTGTCAATGCTGGACACTCGCAAAGGTAGTGTAGGACCGTTTCTTTACTTCCCTCAAGATTACAGCTACGGCACCGATGGTTATATGAAAGGCCCATTTTAGCTGCATAATCACCAATGGGCCAATGTCCAGTTATCTTTCCTCGACCTCTTGAGAAGTTCTTCTGTTTTTGGCTTGCCATAATGTGGCCATATGTTCCTCGCAGTTTTGCAGGTTTGACGGTTGTTCGAACGTGCATCAGCCATACGTGTGAATTGCAGATGCAGTTCTCTTTTGATGGGTTCGAGTGGCCAATTTATAGTCTCTGCTTCGGATTCATCAAAAGATGCTCCGGCCTTAGCCAACTCGTCAGCCCTCTCATTTCGGTGTATGTTCCTATGGCCAGGAACCCAGATGAGAGTGATGTCTATTAACTTGGCCGCCGAGCTTAATGCACATTTGCAATCTCTGACTGTTTTGGGTTTTGTTACCGGTGAGACAAGTGCCGGAAGTGCTGCTTGGCCATCTGAGAAAATGTATGCTTTTCGGAGACCTACGCAGTTCTTCACTAATACTTTACAGGCCCTTTCGATGCCCAGTACTTCCGCTTGGAAGATGCTAGCAAAGTTAGGTAGTCGAAACGAGAGAAAGTCATTCAGAGTTTCAGAGAACACCCCCACACTCACACCGCAGTTGGACCTATCAGTATAGATTTCCAGAGGCGATTAGGGAAATGAAAAGTTGAACGAGAGTTGGCTGCCGACCATCTTCATTGGAAGCGATTTGTTAAAAAGCGGTTTGCACTATTCAACTCTCGCATGCAACAAAAAGTTGAACGAAAAAGTTGAACAATGCAAACGCTGCTTTATCAACACACTTATACCGTATTTTCACTAGGTTTTTAAAAGACAACAATGGAAACAGACACGGTTTTTTATTGCAAAAATTTGTCATTTAATGAACGAAAATCGCAGTGCGACGTATTGACAAGTTTTGCTAATTATAATGTCATTATAGCTACAAATCAAAGTTTTTAACTTTTTTTCAGAAATTTAAAAAAATTAACAAATTTTCACCAAAACTTCAAACCTTTTCAAAATCTTTAAAAAAGAAGTTTAACTATGCACTTTTTGTAAAAATTTTAGGATATCGACTGCTGAGTGGATGATCGACCTATCTCGAAAGCCAGTTCCAAAACGCCCTATCTCAAAAATCTTTTCAAAAATGCCCTATTTCCAAATTTTATTGTAAAACACCCTATCTCAGAATTTGGTTGAAGAACGCCCTATCTCAGAATTCGGTTCAAAATGTACCTATTGAAAATGTGCTGAGAGTGGGCGATTTTGAAACGAATTCTGAAATAGGGCGTTCTTGAAGTTTTTTGAGATAGGCCGTTTTCGAACTGGCTGCCGAGATAGGTCGATCTTCCACTCAGCAGTCGATATCTAATAAAGTGCAACGATTTCGCCCCGAATTTTATTTTTTAGGCATTGTCTTCCGTATACATAAAAACAAATTTAAGCGGGACACCTTCAACGAAAATATTATCAAAAATCAACGCGAATTTCGAGTCACTTCGAACTGGACACCCGAAAGTTTGGAAAAAGATTGGTTGAATTTTTATGAATTTTGTGAAAATTTCGGAAGAACAGCTCACAGAAGGACTTATTATAGGAAATCGAAATAAATTAAAATTACTCATTTACAAGTGTTTAGCGATTGCTTGTTTATTGATTTATTTTTCTCGTACATTTCATAATTTTGTTAAATATGTTTTATTATTATTTTTTAATGCTTTATATATTATATATGTATTTACATAACTGTATTTTCAAACTTCTATAATGTATATTATTTTATGCGTACAATATGTATGTATATGTATGTACATATTTATGTATGTATTTATATACACCTGATTGTGCCTAATTGGGCTAAATGTAAGTATACATATGTATGTATATGTATGTGATTATATGCACTATTACTAATGAGTACTTCTAGGTATACAGCGCTAAATAATCGATTTGCTAAAATTATGTTATCGTTGATTGGTAAAATTAAATTAAAATCGAATTTTAAAATTAACTTAGCAATGCTATTAGGGATATTTGTTCGTTGGTTATACATACAAACAAAAACTAGATTATTGGTTGCAAACATTTTAGTTCTTAGCATCCAGATTCACACAGTTATTTTCATTAAAATTATTTTTTATTTGCAACTTAGGCATTTAATTTTTTTTTATTGGCAACTGTGGGTTGAATCTCTTGACTTTGACTATCGAAATGAAGGCCGTCGCCTGTTAATGGTGGGTGGTTCTCATAACAATTACATACTTTCGAGTATGTATGTATTTCAGTTGAGAATGTCAATTAACCCGTATATATGTAGGTGCACACATATTGCAGTTCCGTCTTAATAGACTTAATCAGGGACGGAAAATAATCGTTATTTTTAAACTTTTATTAAAAAAAAAAAAACATGTTCTAAGTGTCACAAAAAACTCTTGATCGCACTCAGATATGTTTCTTTCGGTAAAAAAAATTATTATTGCTTAATTTTTATTTCTTCAATCAAAAATGATTATTTTATCATATTAATTTTTTCGCTCAAAGATAATAAACTAAATAATCATTATTTTTAAGTGGAATATAATACTCGATAATAATTAGTATCTGTTATTTCTGAACGAAAAAAAAAATCAAATTATTATAATTTCTGTTGAGCAAAAAAAAAAAACTCAGCAATAGTTTTTATTTTTGAGCGAAAAAATAGAATAATGATTAAATCCTGTTTGCATTATTTTGCTTAAAATGATTACCATCCCTGGTCTTAATTGATCGTCACTTTTACTGAAAAAGCTGTAATTATGAAACAATTTTATTTTTCGAATCTGTAGTCTTTTATTTTACGCAAACTTTGTATGCAATTGAATTTTCTTCATTACAGTCAAATTACTTCCAACCGATTTGGGTGCTGAAATTTTAGGTTAAACAAGTAATTTTTAAGCAAAAAAATGACTTCAATTCTCATATAAAAAATTAGGATTATCGTTAATTTCTTCATGATCCAATGATCGGATTTAAACCAAATTAGTATGGGACCACCTGTGAGGTAATACCTTTCCTTTAAAATTATAGAAATCGGTTAACGTGGTCAAAAGTTATGCGGTAATATACATACAAAAAATATTCCCACAAATTGATAACCTTCTCGTTTTTGTGAAGTCGGTTAAAAAATTTTAAAAGTGTTTTTTATTGTAAATATACATATTCTATGTATATAAAATTGTTTGAAATAATTGCGCGTTTTGCATTTAAAAATATAAATTTATGCATATGAGTTTCTGAAAAGTTGTCAAATTAGAGCCTGTTGCATTGATGGTCACGCTATTCCTTTCTTACGCGGAGACTACACAAGATTTAAGCACGATGTTTTTTTCACAATAACGACTTGTTTTTCATCATTAGCATATGTACCCCGCAAACCATGCTTATAGGGTAGTTAGGATGCTTTGGCTTGATGCATTTCTATATTCGCTAAAAATTTTAAATATTTCTTTAGTTTTTAAATAAATTCACATGCATGAAATGAAGTTAATATCCAAAAAGTGCAATTTCTTTAATTATTTAGTACGTATGTACATATGTGCATACATTTGTATAACTATTGATAACCAAAATGAATACAATTCTTGTAAAACTCATTTTGCATTTCCCTACACACAACTGTTATGCGATAATATTCGTATTTATCTCTTATTCAAAAGCGAGTTAATGGAGAAATTCGAATTGAATTTAACATTCGGTTCATCGACTTGTGCTGGCAGATGTTGTTGCCTTTGTTGTTGTCGTTGTTCATGCTGCTGCTGCGAAATATGTTCACCCTTCTGTTGTTGTAGCTTTTCGCGCAACTCCTGCATTTCGAGAATTTCCTCACTACCCTTACTGGTTGTCGTCACCAATGCATTGCTCACATCCGCTGTTGGCGCTATATTAACCGATTTCAGCTTATGACGCGGCTTGCGTAAAAATTTTGTTGAAATTGTAAATTTGCAGGGCTTATTTAAAGCCTTCGTAGCGACTACTGCACTTGATGTTGTTGGCATTTCCTCCGTGACGGTTGCTTCCGCTGCCGCTGTTGTAATGCCAATTGCATCAATCTTATCATTATGTTCTGCCAATTCATTAGTCGCGCATAGGTCAACGCAAGCTGATTGCTCACTTCGGTTTATTTCATCTCTGTGCGGAATTTCGTCTTGCTGTCGCAGCATTTGCTGCTGCTGCTGCTGCTCCTCTGGTTTTGTTGTCGCCTTTTGTTGTATGCGTCTCTGCTGTGGTGTATCAAAGCAGTTAAGAAAATTCTGTACATGCATTAAATTATCATTGCCACCAGCCAATTTGCGTTGCAATTCCAACCCTTCACATTCGTTGGCATCCTCTTCATCGGCTTCAGCTTCATAGTCCAGCGAACGATAGGAAGAAGAAAGCGTCGACGACAGACTGCTGCTGCTATTGCTACTACCGTGACTGTGACTGCGACTACGCGTGCGACTGCGATTTCGTTGCTCATGCGTTGCTGTTGCTGTGCCAGCTTGCTCCTCATCCGAGGATAACTGAATCGTATCAAATTGTTGTTCTTGGCATGTCGGTGTTGATTTGCGCACGCTCGCTTCTTTTTGATTCGGTTTCTGCATATGTGGTTTTTGTTGTTCTCTTTCCAATGCATGCATTGCTGTAGTTTCAAGTGGTTTTCGTGCTTTTCCCTTTTGTGAAGGTTTTGCCCTTTTTGACGTTCGTTTTCCTGCTTGCTGCTGTTGTTCTGAGTATTGCTGTTGCTGCTGCTGCTGCTGTGCTGTGGCTTGTTCTGGCTGCTGTGGCTGGCGGCTAGGGCGAAATGCCAATAAAGCTGCTGTCGATTTTCAGCTGGGCTTTACTAGGTTATCGTCGCGTCTTAGCTGCGACTATAGTCGTCGAAATATATCGATGTGACAATGGGGAAGAAAATTAAATAATAAATATTAATAAATTTAGCAAATAATTGTATGCATTGCAATTAGAACAAATGCCAACATTAAACAATTATGTGTTGTTATTGTTGTTGGTTATTAGTGACTGATGTGGCCTGATGAGAATTTTCACAAAAGTTACAAGCAATAAACGATTTTTTCTTGCTTTTAATGCAAATACATATTTGAAAAAGAAAATGTTGATTGGTCTCGCAATTCTTTTTTAGATTCGTTCGAAACGGCAAGGAACGGGGTTCCAAATTTACAAGTCTATTAGTAATTTTAATTTCCAATTTTTCGATGATTATGATGATGATTGTGACTGCGCTGTGTTTGTTGTTGTTGTTATTAAACATTGAAAGTAGTAAGAAAGTCAACAAGCTTCATTCAATTTAAAGTATGAGATTTACACAATAATGATAACCCTAGAAGAATTAGCTTAAATAACTATTATTCGAACAAAAAAGGCCAATTTTTTTTTTTAATCTGAATAAAAACTTTTTGCCGCGCTGAAAATGAAGGCAATAATTCTTGTGGATCAACTCGGGAGCAACATGGCCCAGCCCCGTGCATAAATAAATAAATAAATAAATTCTTGTGGAGGTTTACACTTGCCTGGTTATCAGGTTATGTGGTTATTTTTTATTCTGTTTACAACAAAACAATACACTACAGACAAATAATTTTTAACCAGATAACCTGATAGTACCTTCGCCCAGTTACGGTTTGGATACTGTAGCCGCCTAAACAGCTACCTGTCCAGATTCGACACTAATATCCCCAATGAGTGTCCCGCGCGACAACAACCACCGATTCACATGCCAGCTCAATTCCACTAAACTAACATCCCTCTCACTTTGGTCCAACCCTGTAGAAACTGCCCGTTTCTTGGGACTATAGGTAGATTATTAAGTAGTACAGTAAAGACATTAGTATGTATGTGTTTGACTGCCATATAGCTAGTGAAAGGGTTAACAAATATATTTGTTCGTGAATGGGTTAATTTATGTGAGTAACAGGTGTATTCTGCGCTGGTAATAAAAGTTATGTTACCGGTGAATAAAGTGTCCCAACAAACACCAAACAAATATTTCTCCAACCTTGGAGAAATTCATAGTTCTCAAGTTGATATCCAACATCATTTTCCAACTCATCTCTAACCGACGTAAAAATTTATAGAGAAACGAATTTTTAATTATCAAGTGTAAAACTAAAGCTATATAAAGAGGAAAATTACCAAAAAAAAGTAAATAATCTTCAAAGTGTCAACGCGAAGTGAATCAAGTGGCAGAATTACTATCGGACTGCATACTGTAAAGTGAATTATTGTCGTTTCAATCAAAAGGGCATAAGTTACAGTTACTTTTTTAATTTCAGTATTTCAATGATGCTTGAGACCAATTAGAGAATAACGTTGGAGTTCAAGTTGAGAACTAGCATTTTCTCAACTTGAGAAACAGCCCTATTTTCATACAAGGAAAAATGCCCTTTTTGTTGACAACGCTATGATCCTCCACTTGAGGTACTGTTGAGTAACAACATTGGAGATTTGAGAAATACCTTAGTTCTCAACTTAACCTCAAGTTGAACTCAAACCTAAATGTCTGTTGGTATGCCACGAAAGAAGTAAAACATCTGTGCGTTGAGCACTTATGTATGACTGAAGTTTCCAGTCGATTCTATAGTTGGGTTCCACTAGTCAAATTTTCCTGCAACTATTTGCTGCATTCCTTGCAGACGCTGCAAACTATTGAAGAAACTTTAATTTAGGCTTCAGAATTTGGAGCCTTGCTCGTACAATACTATCGATTAAAATTCACATTATTATTAATTAATTTATACTAAACAATAAGTGTTAGAAATATCCAAAATACGCAAATTTTGTACAAAGAAATCCTGCCTAATATCTCCATCTGAAACTATTTCACTAATTATCATTTCGATATAAAGAGAACAACAAACACTTAAATGTTAATGCATTGGTAAGTTAATGAGTTGTTTTGTCTGTTTCAAAAAGAATTAATATTTGGATGCTGAATAATCAAATAGTAGATATTCTATTAATTAGTTTTTTTTTTCAAAGTTTTAGGAACATTTAACATTAATAAGCCATCACGCCACACCACTACTACCTTATGATGAGTATAGATCGAGTGAGCAGTATACGCGGAGGAGGACGTAGGGTGGCTGCTATCCGATGCGAGTAATGTGGCATTGCCAACGCCACTACCACCACTAACAATTCCACCAACGACACCATCACCACCACTAACACCTCTACTGCCACCGCCAACAATACTAATGGCATGTGCTGTTGTTGTTGTGGTTGTGGTTGTTGACCCACCTCGTGATGCGGCGGTGTTGCTGCTATTATTCGGGTTGTTGTTGTTGTTACCGCCAGCATGCGCGCCAACCATACCAATGCCGCCACCGATACCGACGCCGCCGCCGCCGCCGCCAATGCGCACCGCCGATAGGGGATGCGGCTCGACACCGATGCTAGCGCTAACGTTAACCGCCGCAGATGGATGCGTTTGGTGTGCGTGATGTGGATGAGCGGCGTGCGTGTGCACGTGCGGGTGTGTGTGCGTGTGTGCCAGATGCATCGCGTGAGCGGCGTGCAAGTGCGTATGAGCGGGCTGTTGCTGTTGTTGTTGTTGCTGCTGCTGCTGCTGTTGTTGTTGGTGATGATGCATGGCCGCAGTAGCGGCAGCACTTTGTGCAATATGTTGTTGTTGCTGCTGTTGTTGTTGTTGTTGCGCAGCAGCCAGCGACATTTGGTGATGTTGGTGCTGCTGTTGTTGCAATGTTTGCATGTGTTGCTGATGGTGCTGCTGCTGCTGCTGTTGTTGCGCGAGTCTATTTGCAGTCATTGTAGACATACCAACAACAGTTGTTGTTGCGCCGCCAGTTGTTACCGGCGTCGTGTGCATATTGCTGATGCCATCATGAATATTAGAATGCAGCGCTGCTAGCGATGTGGCTGGCACGTTTCCAGCCATGCTAGTTGCAATCGGAGCCATTGACGAGGCATTTACGTAACTCGCCGTAGAGTGCCTGTGCCGCAGAACATAAATGTGTATTCATACATTGCAAAGCGCGCGGAAAGGGTGGTGCAAAAAAGCACAAAGACACACCGAAGGAGCGATATGCGATGTGAGGTGAGGACGAAAGTACGAGTGACGGAACAGTGGTGAGCGGTAATGATGAAAATAAATAAAAAATTAACAGAAAATTTATAGATATCAAATTTGCAATGTAATCGAAGAAAAGAACATTGATCGAGCTGCACAAAGCGCATATATGTAGCTAGGCACATACATACATACATATACAGATAACTCACCTCAAACCAATGGATGGGGGGCCAATGCTACTGCTACCGCTACCGCCGCCAGCAGCACCGAGTGCCGCTGTTGTTGCTGCAGCAGCGCTGGTCTGTCGAAAATCAATGCCATTTTCCAAAGCATGTTGCTGCTGTACACCAACAGCTCCACTTGTGTTTAGTCTCGTGGCACCTCCGCCGACGCTTGTTACTGCCGTTGTTGTCGTATTGGGTAGACGCGCATTCACTGTTAATGCTGAGAGAGATGTGGTCACTGCGGTGGCGAGCGAAGTTGCAGCTGCTGTTACTACAGTTGTTAACGCCGTGTTGGCATTAACTGGACCATTGCCACCACTGGCACTCCCGCCGGCGCCCACGTTGTTGCCACCTAGCGCATTTACCGCCGCCGTTGTTGTCGCAATTGCTGCTGCTGCGCAAGCAGCCGCTATGGCGGAGGTCGGTGTGTTGGCTACTATGCCTGTAGCCGTCGTTGTTGCTGTTGATGAGAGAGTAGCAACGCTGGTGGACACCGCTGTCGATGATACGACCGTGGCTGTAACATCGTTAGGTGCAGTTCAAACTTTTTTATACTTTCTTGATTTTTTGTTTGTTTGTTTGTTTTTGTTTTATGGAAAAGCTAGAGAGATTTCTATGTAAAGCGAGCGAGAATTTCGACCCTCAATGAAAGGGAAATGCTGAATTTTTCACACTATTCAAAGATCGTATGTCGGGTAGGTAAATAAGTTACGATTTTTTCATGGAATCTTTAAATTCAACACAAAAAACTGGTGCAAGAACTTATTTAACTGCTAAAAAACTTATAAACTCGCTTCAATCATATAAAAACAGCCCAGCTAAGCTTGTGTATGGAAAAAAGGGTATGTATGTAGAAGTGAATATGAAATGCCAACCGTTGCCAGATTATATTAACAAAGATCCGTAGAAGAACACCAAATAAAATAATATGTATTTACTTATATAAAAACACCAAAGAAATGTTGAGAAACAGAAGAAGGTTTTAATAAGAATGTTTGGCTTTAAATAATAGAAGGGCCGGAAGTTAAATGAAAATGGTGGCAAAAAGCATTTGCGATTTGATAAAATATACATAATAGATACTCTTGGAAAGCCTAAAACCATATTTTTGCATTGCTTGCTTGTGTGGGGGTAGGGGCAACAAATTACACCTATGAAAAGGTTTTTTTTTTTTATTTATTTCTCAATAGGAAAAAAATAATAATGCAAAGAAAAGAAACAAACACCATTTTTGAATTTTAAATTTTTTAAGATTTTCATTTTATATTCAGCAAATTTCAAAAATTTTAAATACTAATTTAAATAATATTAAGCTAAACGTACGTGAATGGTTGACTGGTGGATTGATTGATAGGTGAATATATATGTATGTATACGACAGAGTTTTGGGGAAAATAAATATTCTCAACTTTGCCTTCATAAACATAGTTAATTTTATTTATATGGTAAAAAGTAAAGTAGTATAATATATATATATATATATATATATATTTATATAAGGTAGGTATACTATAGTAGTTTTTATATATTTCATAACTTAGCATTTACACAGAAGCAAACCGTGAATGCGGATGGTTAAATGATAGGTGTTAAATGTGAGCTTGGATGTGCGTATGAGCGGGTGCAATGAGTGGTGGAAAAACGCAAATATGTATGTCTGTATGTATGTACATATGTTGGTATTTTTATTACTATACTGCTTTGTTGCATATTTATAAAAAGTAGTAATGATGAGGAATTTTAGTGATTTTTGCAATATCAGAAAATGAAGTGACAAAGTTTAAAGAAAATGCTGCCGATCCATATATTATTGACGAAAAAATTTATTTTATCACACTAAATTGTTAGGTAGATTTTCAGTTAGTTTTAGCATATTGTAAGCGGCTACCGCAGCCGGGAAGTTAGAGGTGCGTACTGTTACTCCGGGAATCCAGGGTTCGATTCCTGGTCAGGGCAACGTCAAAAAGGAAAGTGTTTCTCAAAAAAAAAAAAAAAAACAATTTACAACATGGAGTTGGCGTAGAAGTGTAGGCACCTCCTCTTGCGTTACAAGATCAAAACGCACAACACAACTTGGAAGTGAAATGGGCCAAAGACGCAGAAATGAGTAAGCGCCAAATAATTATTTACTTTATGTTACAATATGTTTCAACGTGTTAATAATTTTTAAACAGAATTTTGTAAATAAAAAATAGCAGTTTGAATTTATTTCAGAAAACCGCGGAGTTCATCTAAACAAATTCCAGAGGCCATGCGAAAAATCGAAAAAATGGTTAACTTTTGTCAGAAAAATAGTTGTCGTTCAAAGTACAACGTTATAGACTTTAATATTTAACATCCGTGCCGTCAACAGCCAAACTGTAATTAATATGGTAAATCAATTGGTAAAAAACGACCTTCTTATTAAGTGCTATGAGCTGATGTTGTATGAGCCAGTTCGACCCACTTTCTTTTACGCCATTAGCGACACAGACAACCTCGTTTGTTCGTTGACCGGGCCGATAATTGCCGTATACGAGGTAAGGCCAACCCAAAAGAGGTTCAACAGATAGCAATTCACAAATGTTCCAGTTGGTGCAGGTTTTGGACGGATGGAGTCATTGGTTAGCATTTTTCCGAAAAGCACCTGATGATGATTACGGATTTATTTTAACTTAAATTGAACGGATATGCTAACTAACCCGAATAACATTGGAATGGAAGAAATTCCTGGTAGAATGAAGAAATTTTAAGAGGCCAAAAGAATGACTAAGCACATTTTTTGTCATTCCGTTAATACATTTTTTAACTATGAGCTGTTATTTATTGCCTCTCTTAAAAAAAATGAAATATTTTTGTAATTATAAAGCATTTCTAGCAATCTTTCACATTTTATATGAATGCAATTATGCTGGAAGTCAAGAAGGGTTAAAGTTTAAAAACAAATAACTTTTGAACTTGATATTTTAGTAGACATTTCCGCAGCGTTAGAATACATCGATTATAAAATCAAAAGCTATATTTAAGCATCATTACTACATTACTCTTGCAATTGTTCTCAGGTGCATGCACATGGACGCAGATGTTCGCGAAGACATACATACATACATATCCGCATTTCAGATTCTGTATGAAGTGAATGTTACAAAATGTTAATTTATTTCCAGCCAATATTAGAAAAAAATATTTGTTATTTTTTACACAAACCAAAAGATGCACCAACAACAAAAAAAATAAATTTGAATTAGTTACAAATTATGTATGCTTTGTGTGCGTGTATGTGCATGTGTGTTATTTATATGTATTTCTTTAGGTATGCGCCTGTTTTTGGTGGTTACAAACAAATTTGATTTGTACTCTAGTCGTATTACCGTTATGGCAAAATGTTATGCATATTTGTTAATATATTTTATATATATTTTTTTTTTAGTTCTGATGATGATTTATATAAAATGTGTGCAAATCATATATAATTGGTTTGATACATACATACAAATATTGTATATTTCTTTTTTTTTTTTGTTTTGTTTTGTAACCGCTTATGCGTGCGTACACACATATACTAGTAGTAGTTAATGTATAGTAGTATAGTACATACATACATAAATATACATTTACTTATAATGAAACGTACATTAACTAAATTTTTAAAAAGGTTAAATGCTAATAAAATATATGTACAATGCGTTTAATTTTGTTTCCGTTTGGTTTCAATGACGTTATATTGTATGTAGTATATAGCATTCGTATTTATTAATAAGAAATATTCAAGTAATCAGCATGAGAAAAAATTTTGAATTTCCAAATACGAGTCATTTGTGTTTTATTGAGGTTATATTGCATATAAATTTTTATTTCCAAAATAAACAAAAGGCCAATTCACGTTAAACTTACATCAACTAGAAAAAAAAGAAGAATTACCTTTAAAAAAATAAAGATAACATATTTATGCATAAATACTGGGCCCCAAAATTATTGAAAAGAAAACTAAGAGGAAGAATTTTACATATGTAGCAAAAAAAAAAAAAACAATTAATTGTAAGCTTAACACCAAAAACCAACAAAAAAAACTTAAACCTGATTTTTTCTCTAAACTATTTATTCTTCGTACGTCCGTTTTACTCGTACGTTTCGGCACCAAAAATTTGTATGTTTCTTGTCATTTAACTTGATTTTAGATAAGTGAAATTTAGAGCCGTAAGTGAAAAGGCAGCCGCTCACATTTCGTACATTTTGTAAGTATGTATGTATGTGGGTAAAGAGTCTGCATTGTACCAAAGCCTGTGAGAGATTTTTTTTTTGTCCATTTCTGCATCCATTTCCATTTTTTATTACGTATATAGTAATTCTTTCGCCTTTTTTCAACTTCTTCCTAACTTTCTTTTAATGCTTCGCGCATCCATTGATCGCATCATTCGCATTAACTTTCTCTCCTCCTTTCTCTCACTATCTTTTTCTTGTGTACAAGCTTTTGTTTAATTTCTTTCTAATCGCACTGCGCTCTTTCACTTACCTTGGCTCTGTGTTGTATTGGTTTTCAGTGGCACGGCGAGGCGTGCGTTAACGGCCAATAGATGATCTCGTCGTGCTATTAGGCTGGTCACATGCTCCTCTAGGCGAACATTTTCACGTTGCAGTTGATGTAGGCAGGATAGAAGGGAAGCGACTGTAAAATATAAGGTAAAAATTTTATTTATTAGTAAAAATTTGTTCACTATTTTATGTTTGTGTGGTGGGTTGTAAGGAAGAGAGGTTTGTATGCTAATCGACAAATCAAAATCTTCTTTAATAATGTAGGTACTTAAACGGGGTGGTTGAGGTCGAAGAACTTTGGAACAAAAAAAGTTGTCTCTCACAGATCGATATATCATACTTCAAGATCCGACAGTAAATGCCGAAGATATGATGAAAAATGTAAAAAGGCGGTCCCTACGTTCAGCGATGACAGAAATTGCCTCCTCAAAACAAAACCATCGATATGGTATCATACCAAAGATACATACGACTGTAAATGCCTACGTTCGGCAAAAAAAAATTTCGAAATTGTCTTCGTATTGATATACTACCTTAGCAAAAGTTTAATGGTTTTTGGCGAGCTTTAATTTACTGTCATTAGGCTGGTACGTTAAGGTGATAAGAACTGATATCAGCTGGTATGTACCAAAACGGGGTACTTGAGGTTTTTTAATTTTTTTTATGCAGAAATGCATCTAGAAGGTATAGGAAAATTTCTGCATCAAAAAGAAAAATTAAAAAAAAATTAAAAAAAAAAAAAATGTGGCTTCCATTTTTTTTGGCAGTTACGGCTCGATATATGTACACATATCTTTTTGTTTGAAACTATCCTAAAAAAATACTTTAGATTCAGGGGTGTACCACGAACTATTTTCCTCGTACGGTCTAATGTAAAATGTAATAGTAAATTATACCTAGAATATTAGTCTGAATTACTTTATAAAAACGTTAGTTTCTCCTTTGGAAGATCGACTATGTCTTTAAACAAGTTTTAGTGGTACCTCTTTCAGTATCTAAATATTTTGCATGACAGAGCTCTGACGTGTGATGAGGGCCCCATTCTTTTATTTGGGCTTTCCTTTCACTGTGTTGATCTACCGAAAAGAGGAAAATAGACCTTACCCCGCCGAGCCGATAATTTCAGGAGTACTTTGCATTCCTCTCTTCTTTCTTGGAACCAATTGAAGTACTCCTGCCTTCGCTACCTATAGAAGGGTTGGACGTACTTTAGTAGACGTTTTGGAGTTCCTTTAAAGTTGCGTCAACAACGCTGTTTTATTATCTTCTCTTCTATTTGGAGGAATCAACCCACACAAACACCTAAATTTTCCCTTGTACTCCAGGACTAAAGAGGATTTTACTCGATGCAACCAATTTTCAGAGAGAAAAACGAGGAGAAGTAATTGCCAAATTATAAATCTACATCACTTACTGTCAAAATGCTGCGCTTGCTCCATCAGAAACTGTGAGCCTTGCTCCCACTGACGTTCAAGCAACTGCTCCAAACTCTGCGGTATGGCCATATTTCCATTCACACCGCTGCCAAACATCGAGGCCAACGATGTGCCTCCCGACATTTCTGCTGCAGCAGTTGTTGCACTGCCCGAATTCGTGCCAGCCGTATTATTGCCAGTTACATTCGGCGCTGTAGAGTTTCGCTGTGAAGGAGAAAAAAAATGTTTATTAATTTTAAGTACACTTTATTAAATTGATTCCAAGGCAGGGACAGTTATATAAGTTTTATCGGAAAAATGTTGTTCCATAGCAGTTATTCGATGATAAATATTTTTAATTTCGCCGATAAGAGTTATAACCCATTTTTTTTTTTACGTTGCTTGATAACAGTTGTTACCCAAAGTTAATTTTTACGTTGTCTGATAACTGTTATTCATCTTTTCTTTTCATGATCTTTACCTTCTTCTCCAGCTTCAATTTCGTCAATATTCTCATCTTACAACGTTTATCAGACAACTTAAAAAATAAATCTTGGGTTATAACTCTTATCGGCGAAATAAAAAATATTTTTTTTTTTTAATTTCAGAATTTGGGCAACGTTTTTATTTAGTAAATTAGGAATAACAGTTATTTTTGGTCCGTGTTCCAAGGTACTCACCACTGTCGACTTGCCGGGAAAGGGCACTCCCACAAATTGCTGTGTTACCACATCTGCAGTGTAGATGCTGTGATCCTGTATTTCCATGTGTAGTTGATCGGAGAGCTTCTGCGCCACATTGCTATTCGGATTCAGTTGATTGCCAAGCATATGAGCGGCTGTGTGCAACGCTGTACCACTGCTGGGCGCACTTGAAGCTGCATTGGTTGCTGCTGACGTTACAGCAGCAGTTGTGGGTGTGGCACCAATCACATGTCCACCATTTTGAAATAATTTCACATCAACTTTCGCCTCATTTGCAAGCGGATCCTTAGCTTTGCGGCCGCGCTTACGTAGCGCTGTGGCGACCGCACTCACTTCAGAGCCCGGCGAGCTGGGCGGCGAGTCTTTGATGACCGTGGTCGAAGTTGTTGTTGTGGTGATATTGCCTGTCACAGCACTAAGTGACGCGGCTGCTGTGGTCACGGCAGTAAGTAGATGCGCAGCCGTGGAATCGATGGTGGGCGGTGTACCAATGCTGGAGATTTGAGGTTCATAACTGAATTTAAGGCCACCGCCACCACTACTACTGCTGCTGCTGGAGGAGGCATTCGAGATGGCACTGCTGTTCGCGGCAAATGACGAGGAGGAAAATATACCGCTGTCCGGCGTTCTGTGGTGAATACCACCGGTAGAAGAAGTAGTTGTTGGTGTGGTAGCAGCATTTGCAGGGGATGATTGCAATGTTTTTGATTGTGGTGCGTTGTGTTGATGATGATGAGTTAGCGTAGAAGAAGTAGAAGAGTTGGATGGGGTTAATTGCACAATTTCAATGATATCATTGCTACTGCTGCCGCCAACAGCAGCAACGCTGGCCTGCTGTTGCTGTTGTTGCTGCTGCTGCGACTGCGACTGAAGCTGTTGCTGTGATTGTTGTTGTTGCTGTTGCGTTGCGTTAGTGGCGCTATTGCTATTTCTATTACTATTACCATTATTATTGTTATTGCTATTATTATTATTATTGTTGCTATGGTTGCTGGTGACTGTGTTAGTAAAAGCAGCAGAAGAAGCAGTGTTGTTTGGGGAAGAAGCAGAGGAAGGATTGGAAGTTAAGTGATTAGAATTGGTTTGTTTAGATAGAGCTTTAGCAGGCGAATCTCTGGCTTTGTTAGAGGAAGAAGAGGTGGACGCATTGCCAGAGGAAGTGGAGGAAGATACAACGGCGCTAGCGGCTGTATTCGTATTTCTACCGCCGCCATTTTTATGTTCAGGCGAACGTTTTTGATGTTGTTGTTGTTGTTGTTGCTGCTGCTGTTGTTGCTGTTGCTGTTGTGCGGCCAACTGTTGCTGATAGAGCGTTTGCTGTGCGCGCAATAATTTCTTATTCAAAGGTTTGCCGCTCAAATTTGTGGCGACCAATGGCGCATCGCTGGCCACCTTGCCAGACGTGCCCCCACTGCTGCCCGCCTCTGCTGCAGTATTAGAAGCGCCCGAACCACCATTATTACTGCCACGTCTACCACTACCAGTACTACCTTGATTTGCGCTAAGGTTAACGGCATCACCATTATTACCCCCAGCTTTGCTGCTGGCATCTGTGACATCATGGCCGATGGACGAGGAAGAGCTTGTCGTAGGCATTCGATCAGATGCAGCGCCAGTCAGTGATAGATTCGTTGGCGTCGATGAGCTGTTGGCATTACCGCTACCATTGTTTCCGCTGCCTGCACCGCTATTTTCGTTACCACCACTGCCATTAGCGCCTCCGCTGGTGTTGGCTCCTCCTCCTCCGCCTCCTTTTTGCCTTGTTGGCGACGCTGTATTGGATGCATTGCTATTGCTGCTGCCATGTAACATGACAATCGGCGATGGTGAGGGTGTGTGGGTAGGCGTGGGTGTTGGGGTTGGTGTAGGCGTAGGCGTAGGTGTGCTGGGCGGCGGCAGCGAGAGTGGTGAGGGTGCGGTGGGTGGTGGCGTCGGTGTAGCTAGTTCGGCGCGAAAATGTTGCTGTATGGGCGATGGTGATGATTTCGACATTTTTTCGACCGGTGAATCTCGATTCTTTCCCCCCACTAAGGCCGCGGCGGCAGCGGCAGCGGCAGCGGCTGCGGCGGCAGCACGTTTCTTGCCTGAGCGCGAATTTGACTTTTGTGCCGTTAATGTTTGTTGTTGATTTTGCGATTGTGCACTCTGCTGCTGTTGATGTTGTTGTTGCTGATGTTGTTGTTGTTGTTGTTGTTGCAAGGCTTGCATGCTACTCTCACCAGAGCGCGACCTGTTGCACGAGGGTGGGCGTATGTGCACGGCAGGGCGCGCACACGTTAGATTTTTTTTTTTAATTTTCGAGTGTATGGTGAATTGCCGTTATTTTGGTTGGTTGTGGAAGGTGAGTGAGAGTACAGCCATTACATTGCGTGTGTAGTGAATTTTGTTGGGCATTATTTAAAAAAATTCAATACGCATTTTTTTTTTAATATTTGAAGAGAAAAAGTAGAAAAAGCAAAGAAAAAATATTGACATACTTCAGTTTTCACTTTCAATTAGGCTTAATTGCATTTAAACTATTGTTTGGTTGTGTATGTATGTGGTGGGGCGGATGCGTGTGGTGAGTTTGTTGCTTTTAATTGCATTATTTGAAAAGTTAAACATCAATACATTTTTTAACTTACATATTGTAGGTATGTACAGATGTATGTATGTCTGTAGGTATGCATGTATGGGAAATTGGGTAGTTGTTGTATGTAAGTATGTACAAAATCTTGCGGAAATTGAGGTGAATTCTGTTAATTATCCTAATTGTTTACAATCGAAAGTTGAATGAAAATGCAAGCGAAAATCGATTATAGTCTAAAACTGTTTCATGAATTTTCACAAATAAAAAAAACTAAATCGAATACCACATATTACATATGCAAGTTTTATTTTGTATTAGTTTTATATACATACGTTTGTATGTATGTGTTAGTTAATTTGGTAAATAACAAGAGAAAAATTTAACTGAAGCTTGAAAACAAATAAATTTAAAGGGACATAAGAATTTTGGCAATAGCAGTGGTTCAGCTCTAGTAAAGCGTGGCGGCTTTGCTTAAGTATGTATAACTCGGTACCATTATATTTTCTAAGAAATTCATGCCTTTATACAGTTTTATATGTTGTCGCAAAACAAATGCCGAGGCAAATTTTGTGGCCGGTAGTACTTTAAAGTTAATTAAAATTTGCTTAAAAAATCTGAGTTTGAAAAAAGTGCACAATATTCACAAATTGCAATTTCTTCTATCCCCAACAATAATTATGCTCCGCATACAGCTGTCAACAATCAAAACGCCAGAGGCAAACATTTTTGCAGTCGATGCTTTTTCCACATTATCCTTTAGTGTGTCTGTCTTTTTTACTTTTGAAAATCAATAAAAGAAATGGTTCACTTGCACCCCAAGAAGCAGCTAGCGTGGTATTTAGATTCCAAATGTATAAAAAAAAAACACAAGACGACATGTGTGGATATCCACGATCTACAGCTGGAGCTTGAAGAAAACGATCCTTTTTTGAAAATAACGATAACTGGTGACTGAGAAGAGGATTCGTTTGGAATAATGTGCGGCGCAAACACTCTGTTTCCCGACGTACTGGTTCGCTTCAAATAACTTCAAAAGCAGGACATCACCAAGAGAACTTTATGTTGAATTGGAGGAGTTTGGTGTTTTTTTAAGCTACTACCAAGGAGTCGGAACAACCAATTCGGATGAGTGCTGTCGGTAATTGAACTGTTTGAATGAATTTTTCATCCAGAAATGTCCGGGTTGTATTCCATCACAACGTTTCGGGAGATTCGTCAAAATTTATTGGAGCTGGAATGGAGCCAGCATACTCACCGGACTTCCACTTGTTATGCTCTCTTCAAACCTTATTGCGTTGAATTCAGATGATACGTTGTGTTGCACCAATAAGTTCACAGAAAGATGGAAAGTAATATTTGAGCTCATCATGGCCGTGATGATCTATGACGCAGAGGCTGGACGATGTTCGAAAAAATATTGGTTGAAAATGTTCCAGCCTGGAAAATATTCGATGCGAAACCTGCTGTTGGCACAGAGTAGGATAGAGGACGCCCCCTCAGCGATGGAAAGATCTGGTGGTGAGGCACGTAGCTTAACTCGATGTTAGGGACCGTCGTAACGGGTATGATCTTTATTATAAAACCCATAATATAGCCGTTAAAATCGGATTTCTATTATTGCGATAAAATTTAACCGTTATTTTATGATTTTTACTTTTTCGATAAAAAATAATCGTTTTTTTTTTTAATTTTTATTTTTATTTTTTTTAATCATATTATAACCGTAACTCATTTTTTAGATTTTTTTTTAGATATTTTATAGGCTTATAACGGTTAAAAATGATAAAACAATATATATAAATCCAAAATAACGATTATTGTTGATCGAAAAAATTTAAAATCACAAAAAAAATATTAAATTTTACTCAAAAATTTATTTCAAATATTAACGATTATTTTTTTTTATCGAAAAAGTAAAAATTTGAAAATAATAGTTTGCAATAATAAAAACAAAACCTTGATATTTAACGGTTATTTTCGGTCCCTGCTCGTATTTATATCGCGTCGGAAAAAGGATACTTAGACAATAATTTTATAGAAGAATAACAAACAAACAAACATTGGCTTGAAAAACATTGTGAATATTAAAAAAAAAAAATAAGACGGTAACTTTTTTGAGACACTGTATGTATGAAACAAACCTATGTAAATGTACACAAGTGCAATGTTTATTTTTAATGAAGAAAGCACAAATTATTTTCGCCAGCTTCAACAGTTTTCTTTTATATAAATTTTGCGTAGCAAAAATCGCATAACCAGTACTTCGTTTCCGTACCAATTTCATAAGAAGTTCACTTAAACCGACTACTCTAAATCAGTAGTTTCAAGCAGAAGCTTTATTTCCGTTAAGATTTTTTTAACATTTCAATGAATCAATGTTTTTCAGAATATTCAGTTCCCAAATAGTAAACTATTTTTGTTGTAAAACCATTTAAATGCGATTGTGTTGTAGTCCTCATATTTGGTTTGCTAAAATCGATCTGAGTGAAGATAATTTTATGCTAGCATTTTTGTTGTAGCGCAATCAAAAGTTAAGTTAAGTTTTCTTAGCTGATCCTTTAGGTTTCAAAAGACTGCTTGCTGATCTTGGTGTGGAGCCGAGAAGAAATTAACAGAAATTCCCTTACATTAGCGGCTTCTTTTTAAGCTGGTGGATAGTTACTTATACAGTATTTGTGTGGTCCCGCCTTATACTCCAAGGCTGCAGTACTTGTAATCGCATAAAATATTCCACATAAATTTTTAAGGATCCATAGTAAATCCATTGAGCTTTTAAAGCTTGCTTTTCGTGTTTTGCGCTTTTTTGTGTGGCTTTGTAAAGCATCGTTGAAGCCATACAAAACTTGATTTCGTTTGTTTAGTTCTCGCAGCGCTTTTAGTAACAACAATCATATACAAATTAAATAAAAAAAAAGCCGTCGAATTCGATACTGAGCGCGAACAACAACAGCAGCAAAAGAACTTAAATTTTTAAGAAGTAACGGTTAAAGCATATTAAAATAAAATAAACAAGCAACTTTTCATTTAATTATTTAATACCAAAAACACATTTCTTTTAATTGCATGCAGCGCTTAGATGTGAGTACAATTGAGGATTTTTGGGCAAACATGCAACACAGCTTTTGGGTGGTGGTGGAGTGCTTGGTTTATGAGTGTTTCGTGTGTTCTTCAATCATGAGCAACAAAAAAGCGGATACGTTTAAACAGAAGCACAGCAACAAAACAAAAAATAAAGCAACACTTGTTCGTCCTTGTTTTCGATCACACTCACCTGCTCCTTCGCACTGGTGCTGTTTCCTGCTCTTGCAATTGACTGACACGCGTTGTTTGCTTCTCATAACTAATTTTCAGGCTGCCAGTATCCGTTGTAGTGGCCATCAAATTGGGATTGCTGGTCGCACTCAGCATCATGCTACCACCCGATGGCGATTTACCGCTCTGATGTATGACGCTGCTATGCGTTGCGGCCGACATGCCAGCGGGCGAGTTAGCAAAGTAACTACTATTACTATTGCTATGATGCTCGGAAAGCGCTGGCGGTTGATGATGATGCCGTGGTGATTGTCGCTCCAGCAGTCCACTACCACTGCCACTACCACCGCCGATGCTACCGACGCCACCCAGTGGCGTTGACGAGGCATTCGCATGCGCACCTAACATGCTGCCGCTCATGGAAATCGATGTAGCACCACCGCCTTGATGTTGTTGCTGCTGCTGCTGCTGGCTGATTGCTGCCGCTGCGGCACGCGTTGATTGCGAGGGTGGCGCATGGTGATCTAAAATGAAATGGGCACGTAAAAAACATTCATTAAAAAACTGTACAATTTGTGCCGGAATCGAATACAAATTTGGCATGCCAACGCTCACCTGTCGCACCACCCGCTACGCTATTTGTTGGTAAATTGATTCCAGGCACATTGGCGGTGGATAGTGGCACAGATACGTATAGGCTGGGCGCATTGGCTGCCGCGTTAGCTGCGTTGGCGGCTGCGGCGGCAGTATTCGCCCCACAATTCGCTTGCGCTTGTGACGTATAACGGTCATCGCGATGATGTTGTTCCTTGGCGTTAGTGTAACTGTTGCCACCGCTACCCATTTGGTTGGTTACATTGCCACCGTTATTGTTGTTGTTACTGTTGCTGCCGCCGCCGCCGCCACTGCCGGAGCCGGATTTGTGCGCACTCGGCGCGGACGAGATGACATTGCTGGTGCTTAGATTGGTTGCGCCAGCACTTTTAGCATCTGATGATGATAGCGCGTATTTGTGCGAGGCGGTGGTGGAGGAGGAGAGTGTTGCTGCAGCCGTTGAAGAGGCGATTGAGGCGGATATTGAAGCGGATGTTATACCTGATGAGGCGGAGTTGAGGCTGTTATTGCTAGCACCGCCACTGCCGTTGCTCCCGCTTTGCGCGCCACTATTCGCGTCGGTGTTGTGTGTTTGATGTGCGGGTGGACTCAGCTCAGTTTTTTGCTACAAATATAAAGGAAAATGAAATTTTGTTAGTTTGTTTTGAGAAATTTGTGAATAGGAAGCGGAAATGTTTTATTAAAAGTTGCGATAGATATTAAATACACAGCACCTTTGAGTGAAATGCCAATTTGAAGACCCTTCAAATCTGTACATTTAAACATTGGTCATTTAGTTCATCATTAAGAGAGAAGTCATTATGGTGTTCATAACGGTATATAGGCAAAATATCACCAACATTTTATATTATTTTTATAAATTTTTCATTTATAATCAAGATTTCAATTATTATTTTATAAACCAGTGTACATAAATATTAGGGTGGTCCTTACAATAGCAACATCTGAATTTTATATGTGGCACCATTTTTTTCTACGTGCAAAATAAAAACATTCAGGAAAATTTCAAAATTTTGAACAAATCTTTAGATCCCACGGTTTTGAAAAAATTAAATTTCTTTTGAATTGGAAAAATATGAAAAAATGTTTACTTGGAATCTGGTAAAATAACAAATTGTTCAACAAATTCATAAACTCGCAGGTCAAAATCAAAATTTTGATGAACTTTTTCGATTCAAAAAGTTAAATTTTTTCAAAGCCGAGGACCCCTAATTTGGTTTTAATTTTAAGATTTTTGTAGAAGTCTTCATTTGGCACGTAGAACAAAATAAAGGGGTGCTACATGACGTTGATATTTTTTAAGAACCACCTTAATAAACATATGATGAATGTAGGCCGTGAGCTGAGAGGACATGGCCGTTCTTCACTTTTGATTATAGCAATGGCCATCTCTGTCTGATGGTAGCCAGGCAGATGAGAGAGGAATCCGAGGAGGCGGTACATTGTTAAGAGTCGGTCTAGCTAATTGTCTCGAACTTTGGTCTATACCAATGCCATTGTGCATACTTACAAGTGAAAAAAGAATCAGATGTTTTGCAGAAATGCCCCACAGCTGAGATCACCTGATTTTATTTGCTACAGGGTTACACTAATATCTATAAAAAAACTTTAAACACACTCTGACAAAAACAGCAAAAAAGTTCTATTAAGTGTAATAGTTATTGACCAAAACGCTTTAAAATACTAAAATGGCATATAAATGCAGGAATCCATTTAACTAAAACCATATTTTGCCAATTTTTTTACTTTATTTTAATAACTTTTGCCTTTTTTACATCACTTTAAACACCCGGTCTAACATTTTGGCAGGATAGTTATACATTTTGACAGGTACTTTCCAGGTAGCTTCCAGGCGGTTTCCAGGCAGAAGAAGAACATTTGTCACTTGTAATTATGCACAATGACCAATGCTCAGTCGGCTGACTGCGCTGCAATTAGCTCTCCACAAATAATCCTAACCGATGGATATATGGCCAGGGGGTGCCTTGGTCGCTAGTATGCGAGCTCTGGATATCTGCCAAAAAGGTTGCGACAATCACTGGGGAAATGAATCGAGTTTGCTTCGCAGAGAAATCATCCTGTGATCACAACAAAAACCAAGACTTGCTCATATGGAGACGCCAAAAATCACCTTCAGCCCAAGTAACATGTGGAGCTCTGGCACTGCTGCAGAAGGCGATATTAATAATAATCGGTTTGGGGGCCGACGTAAAGCGGAGTTCNCCCCCCCCCCCCCCCCCCCAAAAAAAAAAAAATTTAATTGAAAAGAAGTTAAATTAAAAACAAGGAAAAATATTTAAATAAAAAATTTAATTAAATAAAAAAGTAAGTATATATTTTGCTTTTCAAAACAATAATGGCTAAAAATTAACAGAAATTAAATTAAAAAAAGAAAAAATAATATTCGATTCGCCAAATAAAAAAATAAAATCAGTTCCAAAAAATTATATGAAATTAAAATGATAATTAATTAATTACTAAATAGAAATATAATTTTTTTTTAACCAAAAAGTCCAAAAATTATAAAAAAAAGATAGGCCGCCTAGGACCAAGGAAGCAAGCTATGTAATTATACTTAGGACAAGTAAACATTAAATGTTGGCGTCATATCTCAAATAGTTTCAGCTGCGAGGAACTGCGAGTTCAGCTTCTATTCTTCATTTTTTTTTAGAAATAAAATAAATGTATCTATTAATTTTCTGCGAACCCCATATAATTAAGTACGTGGAGCCAAAAAAGTTGTGCAGGAGGTGGACGTGATAATAAGAAACTATTAATTATCTTCCAAGTTGGAAAATTTTGGCTTAAACGAGCAGAGCACACCGAATTTCATAAAAATGATTTTTTTTTTTAATTTGCGCCTATTATTCTAGAATTGGTGGACGATAATGTAAACCAATTTTAATGTTGTTTCAGATTTATGATTTTCGCGTTAACACCAGCACATGCACTGAATTTTATCAAAATCGGATAACATTTACTATTTCCGCCCACAAGAGCTGTGGGCGTGGTAGCGCGTTGAATTTTATAATTTTCCAATTTCTTCATTCCTAAGTGCCGAATAGCGTATATACGAAATTTCGGCGAATTTCTAGTACGACTACTACTTTTGGCCGCAGCTTATATGGGGAGGTCCCACTGTGCAGCGCTAGCAATATGATATATGTACATACATTCATCACCATTTGGAACATGCGCAAGTGCTTTATGTCAAAAGTGCTTTTCACCATGTAAGTTAGCAAGGGAGCTTTTTTTTTGTCAGACTTTCGTGCCAGAATAAACAAAATCTTTCAAACTATCTTGCCTACTGTCTTTCAATTACCTTACAAATGACTCGCAAATTGCAACTATGCACATATCTTAGCCAGAATTGTCAGTCGACATTCCTTTTTTTATCACTATACTTAGCCAATGAAAGGAATAAATTCAAACTCATTAAAAGCAAATTACTGGTACAAAATTATTGGACAAACTATACAAAGAACATGTAGGTTATATTTATGTGCACACACTCTACTAATACCGCTAATCACACAAATTTTTAGGCAATTTCGAGAAAAATAATAAAAGGATCATATTTTTTCAAGATGTTTATCTCTCTTTTGTTGCAGTAATCTTATGTCATAAAACAACAATGTTGCTGGCTGGCCGCATGCAACATTCACAGCTACTGTTTAGTTGGCTGAGTTATTTGCTGGCAGCCTGGTTGCACATTTGGTTGCAAGCATATACACATAAAAATACATATGCACATTCTATATGTGGCAACTAATACCGTAAAATGAAATCATAAAAATTATAGCTGCTACTGCTGCTGCTGCTTGCCATTTTCCATTTCCGCTGCAATCGACAGCGGCGCAGCAGCAAGCAAGCAAGCAAGAGCTAGTTGAAAAAGAAAAAACAAATAACATAAAAAGCTCTTGGTGTTTTGTTGTTATTGTTGCGGTTGCATGCTAGCTGTGAACAATGCAAACAACATATGTTGCTAATATACTGGCCCCTAAGGGCGGCTGGCTATCCAACTCTCTCAGCTATTCTCAGCTCCCCACGTTCGCCACCTATGGAGTTGCAGACAGATGAGGCATAAACATGAGAATGTGACTAATAAGAGTGCGTAGAAATGACAGTAAATGCAGTAAAATTCAGATGAACAAATAAGGAAGAGCATAAAAAGTTAATGTATTATAAAAATAGGAAATGAGCAGACCGCAAAAAGCGGGAATGAGTGCGAGGTGGGTTGTGAGGTATTCTGAAGTATTATAAAGAAACCATCTGAGGAGTGGTAATGCGATGTAATAAACATACATACGACAAACTGGCATACATATCGCACACTGTTTTTAAAAAAGTCACAACTCAAAATTTGGCAATTTTTGAAATTATGCGCTAAAAATGCGCACAGAGCTTTTAATTACATTTCAGCAAAAGCTGGAGCAAATTTTTGTTATAATTTAAAAAAAAAAACGCTAAGAGGGCCGCCCCTGTCCATATGATTATCATGTTTCATTTTCATTTTTTTATTTTCTGACAAACGTATTATTTTGAGCTGTGACTATTTTGAAGACGGCGTGCGCTATGTATGTATATATGTAGGTAGTGCCGATAAATTAGCTGAATAGAAGAAGAAGCATTAAGATGATACAATGTTGTCTAAGCTACAGTGGCGTGAAAATAAATAGGAATGCAACATTCTGACAAAATTTCATTATTTTACTTTTGTTTATTAATTCTTAATTTTTTTTTATGAAAGTATAGCTCATTATCTGAAAAAAATCATCCGAATTTTTAGAAAAAATTTCAGTATATTAAAGTGCAAATTTTGTTTTGCTTTTTCATATTTTTTTTTTGCTGACGGTCACACTTTTTCTTCCATATACAAAAAAAAAATCCAACAAATTTTGTATGGAATAAAAAGCGTGAGACCGTCAGCAAAAAAAAGTATCAAAAATCAACGGGATTTTTTAGCAACTTGAAACGGATTTCGGCAGAATATCGAATCGTTAACAACATTTATTTCACAACTTTTTCAATTAAAGAATATTCTAGAAATGGGCGTGGCTATTTTAAAACCAAAGTTGAAAAATTTAGACTTTATTATGGATTTCGCCAGAATATCTATATGGATTGAAAAAGTTGTGGAACAAATATTTTTAACGAAGCGATGTTCTGCCGAAATCCGCAATAAAATCTGCGGTTTTGCTAATTTTAGTCCTGCAATTGCCACGCCCATTTCTAGGGGTTTGTCGCCTTAAAGAAAAATCTTGCCATACAAATGTTATATCTAGTTTTAATAATTTTAAATATACATATTTTTCGATCAGCTTGTAGACCACCATTTTTCTAGAGACGTTTTCAAGACTTGTTTCACGTAGGGGGGTCCCAAAAAATATTTATTCCGTCAATGGAACGATTTTGAGGGAGCATCCAAGCTTTGATTGTCGGACTGCAAATGACTCTTAAATACTTCTACCAGCGAATTTGGTCATGACAGTTTATCCCAAACGATAAGTCGATAACGTACATGATGGTCCGGCATTTCAAATCAAAGTTCGCCACCCAACCACTCAGCTGAAATATCTACACGATTATTTAAATTCGAATGGA